GACTAAATTAAAGTAGCAGATTAATAGCTTGCTCAGACCAGGCTTCCAGCACCAGCAGTCAGTGATATGAGTTCTCATCAGCAGGTGCCCATTTTTCTGCAGTGCTTACATACACAGCCTCAGAAAATTAGACATCCAGATTCCTAAGTGGGAGAAATCAGATACCTAAACTTATCTGGTAGCTTTAACGTGAAAATGATACAACTTACCTAATGAATGTTTGAGCAGTGCAAGTGCAGGATAAAGCCAAGGGTCAGACTAGAGCACTAATGACTACTGAACAAACAGCAGGACCACTGAGGTAGCACCACATTTTCCCTTATGTTACTTTGCTCTCATTCATCCCTTCCTTTCTACACAGAGAGGGAGGCTGCTTTAACTGGCCTTTGCTGGAAGCAGACCAAGGGATGACTGCTTGGGCCCATTCAGTCACAGGACTGTGCAGAGTAAAATAAAAGGACAGCAAGGGCATGCAGATGCTTAAGAAAAGAGCTATCCACTTCTTTCCTGTTTTAGCTCCCTCACAAAAAGAAATTATTTGTTTCTCTGAATAAATGCCCTACAGTGGTGCCTTCTTTTCTTTCTCTGATGGAAGAAGATTTTGCTGAATTTCTATATGAGTTTGATCTTCCTTGTCTGTAGCTATTACTGGGGTCATATCAAAGCTGGTAACCTTCAGGTAGCTCACTTCCCTGAGTAAAAATGCAAGAAGAATGGTCGTTCAAGAATAAATGTCATCAAGGGACTTTGTAGTGGAGCAAACCTTTTTCTCTGGATACATGCTTTTCCAAAGTGTAATTTAGCTCAGTACTAATATGTGATTCATTAGCATACAACCAGTATTTAGACTTTGCTATTTACTGTAGGTTTTCTTTTTAAATGGCGTAAAATTTGGTGGTTGTAGCCCAATAATGACATTAAATGAAGCTGTCCTTGATACTTGTTGTTCCTACATCCCAGCCTGTTTTTAAAATTGGTCGCTTTAGTTATATAGTTAGATAATTTTACTCCAAATTGTTTTTTTGTTTGTGTTTTTTAGTTATTATTATGGCATTTTAGGTAAAGAAATATGAAGAAAGGTGGCTTTTTTTCTGGCATGGTCTGTGTTTTACGTCTCCGTCAAGTGCTTTTCTAAAGCTGTTTTTCCCAGACTGTGTGTTTTGCATGGGTGGGACAGTGGGTTATTGTTAGCCTGTTAGACACAACTCAGTTTGAATACCCTTCAGTAGTTTGTGAGGCAAGTCAGCTCTATTTGCATTTGTTCCAGTCACAAAGGTTTATAGGTCAGCAAAGGCTGGCTGGAAAAATTCAACATGCCAATGCACTATTCTTCTATGGTTGTCAGGAATTCAAACGTGCTGGTTTTTATATTTCTTCTTGGTCATGAATATATGATAGCACAGTCTGAAGTCGCTTTGTTTCTTTGGAGCTTGGTACCAGCTGGGACTAAGATGGAGGACGTGACTTGATGCCAGCTTTTTTTTCCCCTCTCTTCTTTTGCTCATACTAATCAGCAGCAAATCAAATGTCAGTACATCTGGAGACAGTGAGAGGGCAGTGCTCACCAGTGCACTGTATTGCTGTTATTTTTTTCTCTTCTATGAAAAAGAGTCCAGCTGAATAAAAGATGACATTTGTCCTTTCATAGAAAACATTGCATTAGCTTAATCTCCCTTCTGTTTTGGGTTGTTGGGTTTTTGTTTTGTTTTGTTTTGTTTTTGTGTTCCCAGTTTTTATTTGGATACTTTTAGGTTACATCCTGAAATATTTCCTGCTTAGCTACAAGCAAAGACTAGGTGGATATCATCATTAATACATGAACTGACAAAGAATAGGCATGTTTCAGGATTCAAGACTTTAGAAGCTGTTGTTATAGCTGTAACAGTCACATATAAACATACGTTATGGACACAATCCAGGGATATCACTGATAACCTGGTCTTTTAACAACTTACATACCAAGCTTAAAATCTCTGTAAAAAAGAATGTTTTCCACAAAGAACACATATTTCCTTAGCTTTGTTTTTCAGCTTCTAATTTTAGAAGAGATTTGGCCTTTTGCAGTTATTAAAATGAAATATAGATTCATCCATTTTAGTTAGATTCCTTCCAAACTGCATTTGGAATTTTAAATGGCGTGTCTGAATATATTGTGAGAGATACTATTGCAGGTCTGTTAGGAGCTGACATCTCACTTCCAAACTAGCTTACGGTATCCCATCACTCTGAAACCAGTAAGCCCTACTTGAGTTTGATTTATTTAAAAATCATTAAAAAAAATAATTGTTTTTATAGTTGTAGCTTGAGTTTTGATATTTTTCTTATAGAAGTCATAAAGTATGCCAAATCTCCTTTTAATATTCTCATTGAAATGCAAACTGTGACCTTTCTTGGTCTGTTTTAAAGAGACTTTTTGCAAAATATGGCATGTTTTGAGTAACAGGCGACAGAGACAGGGAAGGTTGCATCCGTAAACTAGAGAGGCTGCAGCTAAACCTCGCATTGATGCCTCCATTTGAAACAGCCAGGGAGACCCGTTTACTTTTGAATGCAAGATTCGCTGCCAAGTTGGCACCATCTTTCATGTTTATAGATTTAAATTCAGCACATGGCTTTAACTCTTCAGCTGCAATAGCTGCAAACAATTACCCCAAAACAAATGCTTAGGTATAATCAGTTCATTGTCTTATCCATTTGACCCTTTAGAAATACAGCTGAGAATGCTATTTTAAAATGCTGTGTTGGGTAAGACACATGGAAATTGCAAAAGCAAGTTTTAAATGGAAATGTTTACAAATATTAAAGCTTAATATGAAAAAATACTCTTAAAATAAACATTTTCAAGATCACAGAATATATTACTGGGAAGACACGTTGTTTAATAGATGAATCATTTAAAAAGGTTTCACAGTTAGAAAGAATATACTAACAAGCAAAAATGTAATTGTTTAGGAGCCTGGCTTTTTAGCAAATGTTCAACTACTAACCCAGTGCACACAGCATAAAATTGCCAGGAGTTGGAAACTCATCTGGGAATAACTTTTATATATACATATGTATGTATATATACATAATTTTTTTAACTCTTAAAATATCAGTTCTATCAAAAGATTGCTTTAGAAAATACATACTTCATTTCTGACTATTTTCATAGGCAAAATATTTTGCCCCACATAAAAAATCATTTTTAGAACAGAACCATGATCGAGTTATTAAGAATGTTTTCAGTACTTAGATACATTATTGCTTTATGTCTCTAATATTTAGTAAAGGAGCAGTAATAAACTAACTGCAACTGTAGGCATGCTCTGAAATCAAATTTGAATCTGAGCTTCAAAATGGGCAAATATTTAATACAGTGATGTGGGTGACTACCATTCACGCAGTGGAAGCAGGCAGAATCCCATCAACTCCATTCACTGCTTAGGTTTGGGTATAGAGAAAGAAACTTGCAAATGCAATTATGAAGTTTTTTATCTGTAGCCCTTATGCTGATCAAACATATTTTTCTAACTTGCTGAATATTCCCCTCCAAAGCTTCATACTGACAAGCATCTCAGTTATGACACTGTTTGATACATAGATAATCTTTGTTAATAGTTGCATTAAATCATATCAGAATTATAAGTGATTTTTGTTGTTGTTATTACACTTTCCTATTTTTTTTCTTAACCATTTCAAGGCATAAAGTACTCTGCATGTGTCAAAACAGTTCTTTCATTCACTAATCATTTCATCTAACATTAACTTCTGGATGCATGCAAGTAGTGACCTATCTGTGAAGCACTGAGCGTAATAAAAGAGTAATTTGATAAGTCAGAAAGCACGTCTGCATGGTCATGAGTCCTTTCTGTGGTTTTAAGTATTTTCATAATCACAGATGCTGTTCTGCACATGGGAAGCTCCTGATAGCTAGTTCTGAAAACTGACAGATAGCAAAACTATAGACTACATTACAAACATGTAAATATGTCCTGATTTTACACTAAGAAATAAATCGTATTTTTCTCTCAAATCCAGTTGACTGTATCAGTCCAACATACACTTTCTTTTAGTAGTTTTCTTTTTGTCAGTTACTTTACTCTTAAAAACTCAGTAATTCCTGCATAGCACATCAGATTTATGGAACTATTTCTTGGCATCATTCTTTTTGTTTAAGTCACACGTGTGTGTATGTGTATGTGCTCTTCGTTTGTGTCTAGAATTTTAAGGAGATGAGAAGCTCCTCCTTAAACACAGGCTGGTTAGTTTTTCTTTCTGTACGGGTTCACTCATTGTAAAATAGAGATTTATTTTTATAAAAATGCACACTGCTTTCTTACCTAGTGTGAAAGACACTGTATTTGTAATGACTTTAATGTAGTACAAACTACATTGTTGTGTTAGTATGTGCTTTTATTCAGGTGGGTTCTGTGAGTTACTAAACCCCTTGGATTTCTGGCAAGTGAATGCAAAAGTTGCAGGCACAGTTTGGATGTCTGCGTTGCCGTTGGGTATCCTGCAATTTTGTGTATTATTTGAGAGTTGCAACCCTGTCCAATAAAGGGATTTTGTTTTGTTTGTTTTTAGGGAATTGTTTGTGAATAGGGGAGGGAAAAGACAGAAATTTCTTATTGAGGTTTCCGTGCCACAAAAAGGAGCAAGTAGAATACTGATGTACTGCAGTAATTTTGGATGAAGACAAATCTTTTAATTAGGTACATGCAGTGTGAGGACATTTGCAGAGATCCCATAGTTGAGGTTGTTGTGAACTTTCAGTTTTCCAGAAAGAAAAATTTAAAAACCTTAACAAATCAATCTTCAACAGTTTGTTTTAAGGTAGGAAAAAAAGGGGAGATGGGATTTTCTTGTCTGGTTCTTCAGTTTTATTCTACTTGCTTTCTTGCTTTTTTTTTTTTTTTTTTTTTAAACACTGATTTTGTCTCTGAGATTCTCATATTGTGTTGTGTTTTTTTTTTTTTGTTTTGTTTTGTTTTTGTTTTTGTTTTTTTTCCTGCTAGCTCTGCAAGCGGATTGATAGCTATGTCCAGAGTCCAGCAATATGTATTGCTTTGAGGAGGTAGGATCCTTTTGATATTTTACTATTAGAACAAATGGCTATTTTCCTCATTGTGTCATTACACATTTCATAGGCATTAAGAACAGCCGCTGAATGTGGCAAGTATTTACATGCCCTGATACTGCCAGCAGCCTACTGAGCTTCATTTTCTCCAGGCACGCTACCCCTTTCTTGGGAGAGGCCCTCATCCCCACCACTGCAGTGCTTCTTCCTTAGCTGTGACAGCCTGTCATTGTCTGTCCCTCTGGATATTACAGTTGCAATTTGCTCACATGGATGCTGGCTGATCCCAAGGCCTTTTTTTTTAAGCTCTTTTCTTGTATTCCCTACCCAGTGCAAATGCAGAAGCATGCAGTACAGTTCATGAGCTAGAGTCTGCAAAGGTATCACTGCTAGAATTTTTCTGTGGTAGATAGTAGAGGACCTAATGACAGATATTAGTTGCGACAGAAGAATTGTCAGGAAGTCTCATCTTCTTCATTCACCTCTTGCTATGGCTAAGGCACAGTGGAAAACTTAAAAGGACAAATTCAGTTGACAAACAGAACTTGGAAACTTGGACCCCTGCAAAGGAGACACATTCTCCCCTGTCAAATCTTTGAAAAAACTCTTGCTCCGATTAAATTTAGTGTACCCTCTTATATCATCTGCTTCTGGGTACGCTGAGAGTACTCTGCACATACTAAGAAAATGATGTTGAATACACAAGGAACAGGCCTGCAGTTAATGAAGATTCCAGTAATATAGGGACTACTTTTCATTATGAAGAGTTTTAGTCAGTTTCTGTGCACATGGGCCTCAGCACAAAAATATGCTGTGCAGTTAAATGTAGAACTCATCTCACCATCACACTACTATTTTATCTCAATAGTATTTCATTGACCTATTAAAATAGGAAATCTTGAGCACTTGCTTTCACTGAATCCAGATGCTCTAGAAAGCTAATACTGATTTTATTTTTTTGCAGTTTAATTTTCTAAGAATATAATTAAGTTTAAAATTGAATGAGGTTTAAAAAGAATCAGCTTCAACTTTTAACAATTTAAAACCTAAACTTTGGCAGAATTTTTCATAGTATTTTACTGTATTGTGCATGTGTATGTGGCCTACTTGCATAATGGTGTGCCTTTTAAGTAGGTGGGTACTCTACACAACTCAACACTGCTTTAAATAAACTTATTTTTATTAAAGCAATAATCATGGCACTGTTTAATAATCCTCTTCTATTTCTGCTACATGCAGTAGAATTTTAAGGGTATTTCTTGTGTAGACACAAGTAATTAAAGCAAAGGTTCTTTTGAGGAATTGCTGCAGAGAACAGTTGCCTTATGAATGCCAGCATGAGACCTGTATTTCTTTGTCTATTTCTATGAAGTTCAAGACTAAAGCAGATGCAGTGGTAGTTAAATCTGAAAAACATCTTGAATTATGGTACCACATTAAAGGTAACTGAAGGGAACCCTGATATATCCCATGTAAGAAATACCTTCCTTGCTAATACTATTTTCTGTGGTATTTCACACCAAATTTCCTGCTGTAATAAGGAAATGGGTTGTGTAGTTCAGATAAAAAATTAAATATAATGGGTGCTAATTGTGAAGATGGTCCTCCTGTCCCAGTGCACTGTTCTGTGGAACGTGCCACAGATCTAAATGGGGCAGTTGCATGGAAGAGCTGGAAGCTGCTATGGAATGGGTGGGAGGGGGTACCAGAGGGTTGGTCACTGGTCAAGGCCTGGAGGAGATCCCAGAGTAGAAAACTGGTGAGGCAGAGGAAAAAATGCAACTTGCCTTGTCTCGAGATCTGTAGCAGCCTGATATATTCTTATCCTTCCTGTTGTCACCGTGTTAATACCAGTTACTGCACCTTCCACCCAGGCTGTGAGAAGGTGCAAACAGACTGAAAACGAGTAGATAAATTCATGGTATAGAAGTAGGCTAAAAAGTCAGTGAGGGCACTGCCAGCCATAAAAATTTCATTTCTTACAAAAAGAAGGATTTGCACTTGTTGCATTTAGCAGGCTTGTGTTTGCCAGACATGAAGCTGAGTTAGGTATTGTATATAGTACCTCTGGGATTTTGTTTGACATAACCAAAGGATTTTCACTTTGCAGGGAATGTTGGCCTGGAGTGGGGCCAGTTCTGACCGCTTTGTGTAAATTTTGGGTGTCTGTGAAAGGGAAGATGCAATGCTTGCTTGGGGCTCCTTCTGGCAGGCCTCGCAAGGAGTACTTTTCTTCCCTTGGTGGGATTTGAGTGCTGTTGCTGGAGGGAAAGCACTAGGTATCTGCTTCTTATAATTTGGAGGGGCTATTAAAATAATAATTGCTATTAAAGATTAGTACTGTTTTTTAATTACTTTAATGACAGTGAGTCTCATTCTACAGCCATTTTGTTTCTTTCTGTGCCTGCATACATTGCTAGAAAATTCTAAGTTGCAAAAGGGAGGGAGGTGAACAAAATGCTTTACTCTCAGAGGCATTTTATAAAATGCTTCACCTCAAAATGTATACTTCCAAACCAAGTGAAAGTGAATGAAAAAAAATGTAGTTTGATCTTTTCTGAAGAACATGAACTTTTATATACAGATAATGTAAGCTTCCAGGTATACGTCTGTATTATATACATGCCATGGATTTATTGTGTACTATCCTGTCTAGCAATACCCATGTGATAAACTGTTTTTCATGCATTTTTTTTCATTCATATATCTATTTAATAGCTTTCTCTAACATCCAGAATTCTCTTTTACTTCAGAAAGACAGAAATCTAACAGAAATCAACATCTACCACAAATGTGTTTTATTACCTAAATGAAGAAGTGCAGCAGTTGCGGAATTGAGTCTCAGGTCAGTGGCAGAGTTTTAAGATCTGATGATTTGGTGGAATACAAACGGGGGGTTTTATTCCTCAAGTGGCAGTCGCTTGAGTACAAATTATGGCTTCAAGCCTTTAAACGTCACCAGGTATAAAACTTTTGAAAATCGTGGCATTCCATTGTGTAAGAAACATTTAGAATATTTTTAGGGAGTTTAACACTTTCCAGATCTCTCATCTTTGCACAGCAGTACTTTGGGTAACTCAACTAACTGGTTTTAAAACACAGGGGCTGAAGTAGTGCCCAGTAAAAATGCTGAATGCCCTAATATTGTCTTAAAGTATTTTGTTGTTGTTGTTTTGTGTTTTGTTTTGTTTTCTGCTTCGTATTAGGAAGATACAGTTTTATGCTAGTTTGTATCAGCATTTCTATCAGCATTGCATAACTCACTTAAGGAAACTCATACCCATAAATTTGTCTATGCCACAACTGTCTTGTGTATAAATATACTGTGTGTTTAAATGTCTAAAAGGCTATTTCACAGGTTTAACTCCCATGGATAGTCAGTGAGGGACAGTTGCTCAGTGCCCCCAGTTACACACCTGAAATTCTCATTTAACGTCCATTCCTGATGTTTGTATGGGAAAGCTGTAAGGATTGTGTTTCTGCAAGGAAGTTCTTTGTCTGCCTCTCCAGCACTGCATTTTATTCTGACGCAGTTCCTGATTGCAGGGAAATGCTGTATAATTGTACAGCATCAGCTGATGATAGATGCTATCACGCTTCACTCTAGCATGTCAGATGTCCAAACATTTGTCTGAGTAATATTGTTAAAGATTCTATTGTCGTTGTAGTTTATTCATTTCTTGAAAGGATTTTAAAACAGAAAAATGAATTCACTTACTTCAAATGCTTTTGAAAAGCTGTTGGCTACAGTCTTTGCATATAATAATATAATTGATGGAGTTCAGGCAAAATTACCAAGGGCTGTATTGAAAGTGTTTGTACTATAAATATTTATGGATTTATAAAGGTAATCTTGATAGAAGTGGACTAGACTATGTTTATGGTGCGCACTGCCTTTGGAGCCTTCTAAAGGCAGAAGATGCTTTAAGTATCTTCTTGAAAATTGGTGAATCAACCTCCTGAATGAAATGTTATAAATATAAGGTATGCTCTTAGCCTTCTGATGTGCCTTTAAAACTTCTGTATCTCAGCTGATTTCTGCCTTCCAACTACTAGTTGGCAGGGAGAACTCTGAGCCTCTTCAGAGGGAATGCTTGATGGTTCCTTCTCAAGCAGGCTTCTCTGCAAAAGCTCTGCATGAATCCTCTACATGAATCTCTCAAACTTCTTTCAGCATGTTTGAGTTTGACTTAGCACAGGACAGGTGAAAAATGAGGAAGAAATGACTCAAATATAGAGGGCTCACCCCTGATTGAGCCTCCAAGGAAGTTAAAGAAACCTGAGGCTTGCAGAACTCTTCTGAGGAAAGCAATAACTATGTATATTTGATTTTTGTTTTGCAAAGTTTGGGACCATCTGAGGACTGGCTCTTCTATTGTACACTTATGCAGATAGGCACTGTAGTTGAAATCTAGACAAGAAATAACATGTTGATGTAATGAGTGACAGTATTTTAACAGAATGACCAGTGTAGAAATTGCCTTTAGCTCCATAGTTTTTGATGAATCAGAGGGCAAAGAGACTGAGTTTCAGTTGATTAAAAAGTCGTATGGGAGGGAAGCTTACTTTGTAGCCAGGTAGTGTAGGAGAAAATCCAACTTTTTCCAGAGCTGAAGTCATATAACATTATTATCAGGGTAAAGCATTTTAGCCTGATACTCTAGTTCTTCTGGATCGAGATGGTTCTGAGGAGGTGCACAAAACTGGTGATTCAGACTAAGTCTTCCACACAGTGTATTTATAAGCATCAGATGGAGATGTTAACAGATTCAACATCGTAACTTCCCCATGTGAAATACATGTAGTGTTATTTATTTACTGTCTTGTATTTTAGAGAGGAGAGTTTGGGGGCATAATGCATTTTTTACAGAGACAGTTTATAACTTGGAAAATACCATAATCTCCTTCAAAAGCTATTTTTGTCCTTTTATAAATGGTAATATTCAGCCTTCACAGCTAAGAAAATAGTCTGATATATGAAGGAAAACACTGTACTGAATTTTCCTTTTGAAATAATAGATGAAGATTTATAGCTGACAGCCCCTCCCATTATTTAACTAATAAGAGTTGCATGAGTTTTCTTTCAAGTGGAACATTTTTAATTGCTCCTGGTCATGCTAACCAAACTCAGTTGCTGTAATGATGGTTCCAAATCTCAACATGACCTCATACAATGAGCAGAAAAGAGCATTATTAGTATTATTTGCCAAACTGTGCTGAGTGCACCATATGTCATGGTCTCATGGTTAGTTTTGACTTAAGTTTTGTAAAGAACAGCCTCCACATTTTGGGAGAGCATACTTTGATTAGCTGTATTTTTTTTTTTAGCTCTTCTGTCCCTCCTCTCCCATTTTAATTTGTATTTACAAATATTTGGAGATCTTAAAGTTGAAATAACAACAGATAGCAATAAAATGTAACTTACAGTTCTAGAGTTAAGAGGAGCCCTGAGATCAGTAATTCAACTTCATTTCCATATTTGCATTGCTGTACTACAGAGCTTGTTTTAAAGATAGCATTTTCATGTGTTTAGTTCTTAGTCTCCCCTTTCCCATTTTGCTGATGCAAAATCATTGAATCTGTAAGATTACACAGCCCTTCCTCACATCCCTAATTCAGTCTTGTCATCATTAATCCTTGGTATTTACTATACCGAGCATGAAACAATAGGAATGCAAAACAGCAACAGTGACACAGACAACTAAATGAAATAAATTGAATCTATGTATAAGTGTAAACCCAACTGGGTAGGTATTGCTATAATGGAGCAAAGGCAATTGTACTCTTCTGCTCTATTACATGAATTGGCACTAAATATGATCTGAGAAAATGAGCAAAGATGACTATCTGTCTGCAAAGTTGATTGTATTGCTCAACAAGTATTCAAGGAGGTGCTACTGGGTGATGACCATGCTCTTGATTTCAGAGACAATTACTGACAATATATGGGCAAGTTTTCCAGTTTGCTTTATACCCAGGCATTTAAATCCTTGACCTCGGACATATGCGTTCCCCCTGCCCCAGCTCCTACCAAAGAGATGGTGAAACTGCAGCAAGTTATGATTGTTCTTTTTAATACCTACATGAACAGCTTTTACCTGAGTCCTACCTTGAGAATAAATGGAGTATTTTCTTTGACTCGGTGCACAATCACAATGCAGATTTTCTCTCCTCTTTTCACCCCCATCCCATATTCCTCATGCTTCCATGTGCCATGATTACTGCTGCTTAGGATCAGCTATTAACATCCACAAATGATTATGATGCAGAGAAAGGCTGGGAGCCAGAATATTTCTCCTCATTAATATCTGTATTAGTGCTGTAAGTTTTCCAGAGCAGACCTTCCCACATCAGTCCTCTAAAATGAAGATGGGATCTGAACTACTCCCATAGTGCTAAGTATTATCAATAGGAAATTCTGGAGAGCAGGTAATAGTCAGTTACTGCCAACTAAACTTTTTTTTTTTTTTTTCCAAAAAGTGACCAGAAGTTGAAAAGCTCTGTAATGTGCTACACTCTGCAATCCTGTATTTCATACCTTTTCATTCTGAAAAAATTTAACCTATAATCTGTACACACAGATGTATTTCCATTAAGCCATCTCTTCCTTTTGCACAAGGCATGTGTAAGTGTTCAAATACTCATCACTGAGCTTGAATTGAGATATTAGCCAGAGATCACCAAGAAACAAGCATGAGCTTGCGTTTTTAACCACATGCTCTGCTGTTCCATACCAGATGACTAAACTCGATGACATTTCCAGCCCAGAAACTGTCTTTCTCCAGCAAGGTAACTCGACAACATCAAAGCTGCCCTCACAGTGGTATCTGCCTCCTACCTTTCCATGTACAGCCAAGGTCCCAGGCTGATGTGAAATGATCTTACAGGTGTTACACCTTGAATTACAGGTGTTTATGCCAGCCAAGGCATCTCCTCTGAAGCCTGGAAAGAGAACAGTGGGGAAGCTGTTTTCTGCAACTTGCTTCACAGAGACATGGGTTCTGCTTTGCCATTTTAGAAGCCTTCCCCTTTACAGCCAAACAAGTGTTGCACTGTGTGAAATCTTCAGTACTCTCAAGTCTTAAGGAGTAAGCCTATCGCTTGGAAAGAGGAATCAGACCTGTAGACCTGTGCCATTTAGATACTGGCATGTGTTTGTTTTGTGTCCTGTTAACAACCTTCAGTGTTCTTCTGAGCCTCAGGAAATAAATGGTCCTCACCGTGTCCTCTCAGGTTGGCTCTGTTGGACAGAGTGTTTGGGCTGTCTTGGCATGAAGCATCCCCATGGAGAGCTGTGTGCCAGCAACTCTCCGTGCCTCTCCTCTTCAAGGAAGCCCAAGCTTTCACACCCTCACTCCCCAAACTTGAGGGGGGAAAGGAAAGAGGCGAATTCTCAAGTGCTGTTCAAGCCATTTAGTTCACTTCGGGTGAAAGAAAACATCTCAAATAGGATCCTCTACCATGTGGTGGTAACTGCCAGTGAGAGAAAGAATCCCATGAAAGCTTATGGTAGATGTGGAAGTTACATGAAACTCCACCGTGAGTCATGCACTTCATTATTTACATGAGTTTTTTTCATGTACTTTAATGGGGAGAGTGCCAGGGGGAAATGGAAAATGTTTTAGAGTAATTTATTATTTTAAATTTATTTCTTTATGCCTGTTTTTTCATCATGTATAACTTTTCACCATTTTGCAATAAAGCATACATGAAGAGCAGATCAGATGAAAAAGTGATTACACCCTTTTGTAATGTCTAAAATACGCTTATTCAGCTAAACTTGTTTTGAAATATTGGCAAAAGTGGCCTGCTAAGTTCAGACTGGAAGCAGTTTATATAGTTTCT